AGATATATAGGGACATTGGTGCACCATTTACCTTAAATCGGAGGGAAATATATATGGGAGCTATATCTAAATCTGAACCGATTTTCACGAAACTTAGCACATATCATTCTAGGCTAAATTCGGTACGCTGTGCCAAATTTCGTGCAAATGGAATGATATTTAGGGACTTTCGTGCACCATTTACCTTAAATCGGACGAAAATATATATGGGAGCTATATCTAAATCTGAACCGATTTTTTCCAATTTCAATAGGGTTCGTCCTTGGGCCAAATAAGTGAGCTATGCCAAAATTCATCCAATTCGGATCATAAATGCGACCTGTACTTTGTTTACAATTTAACATCGACAGACAGACGGATGGACGGACATGCATAAATCGACTTAAAAAGTGATTCTATGCATATTCTCAAAAGGAACCATGTGTCTATCTCGTTTCCTTTTGCCTGTTACAAACATATGCACAAAGACACAGTGCCACAGTGTGGTGAAGGGTATAACAAAAAAATCCTTCGATGAGTTAGGTGTTGCTGTCTTGCGAGAACTATTTCTCTTCTAAGCATACAGTCGAGTTGTGCTGCCATTCATTCCTGCCCATATATGATACTACGTTAAGTAATTGTGTCACATATTTATTCAACAAGGATCGTCACCCATTATAGGCATGGATGTAATTGAAAAAAAAAAACGGATAGTTCCACGTTTTCGTCGACTGCAAGGCTGTGCTTCAGGGACAGACAGCCATGACAAAAGTTATTTTAGATTGTCGATTTCCACAAATCAATGAAGTAATGGACAAGCAGTCGTATCGATGGTCAATCTATTATATCAACGATATGTCGAGAAACCCGCGAATTAAGGAAGAAGACGAACGAGACTCTTCAAACAAGATCTCAAGGGAATTTGTGGTCGAAAGAGTTCTCAACTCGTGTACAGTGGCTACCAATGTCGAAACCTCTATCAAGTTGGCGACTAAAGAAAATCAAAATCCGTTGCGAGTACAAGAAAGAAGACAAGAAAAAATCGTGCATGCAGCGAATTCAGTGGTAGCTTTTACTACAGGACTCAAATCCTCCTCACAACCTATGACTGAAAAGGGGATTAGATCGACTTCGGAACAGTAGCCTGCCGTTGCCTTCGGTTTCGTATGTATCGGTAGCGCCAGAGAGGGCAAGTGGGAAGACCATCAATGGAAGGACGAATGTCGAACCAAACCGTAAGACTTCGCAGGAACCTTCTCAGCCAAACCGTAACATTCGCAAACAACAATTCGGCAGTTAGTTCCAGATGACCAGAGAGTAGCGGTAATTGCTCAATGAACAAAATACCAAAATATAAATTTAAATGGTACTCATTTAGATAGACACCACGCAATTTTCATTTACATAATTATTTGAACAATGTCGTTCATTAAAAAAATGAAAACAAATCTTTAATATTAACTTCCTTATAATAAAAATTCCTTAATATAAATTAATTTTATTTTGCATATATTATTTCTTAATTTTTTTGAATTTATACTGATACATTTAAAACAAATTATATATAATATACTTTTATAAAATAAATTCCCTGTATACAATATTAACTAAAAACCGTGCTAATAATTAGATATATATAAAAAATATATATTTTGTTTAAAATACCAAATTATTTTTATTTTTATAAATAAAAATTATATATAAAAACATTCTTGTACTCTCCAATTAAAAAGTCCAATGGTCAAATTAATAATATATGAATCAAAAAAAAAAATATAAAAAGAAAATCAGCTAAAAAATTATGATTATGATTTTTTTAAAAAATCAATAAGAGCCGTTTGAACTGCCGCTTCTCGATTAACAAAACTTTTCAATATTTCTTTCTTTTCTTCTTCAATGTCTAATAATTTGTTCATATCATTATGCATTTGTTCTATACTATTTTCGAAATGTTTAAAAACTTCTACATTTTCCATTTTGGGAATTTTTAATTCAATTGGATCATTTGATGGGATTTCAGATGATTCTTCCCGCGACATTGATTGTGATAAAGAAGAAGGAGGAGGAGAAGAAAAATGGTTATTGGACACATCAGTTGTGACTGTGGTTTCTTCATCTGAAAGAAGACAACATTAAAAGCTTAAAGAGTTTGAAGAGTTCATAATATTATTACTTACTTTGAACATAATCAATAGTTATATCGTCAGGGTTGAAACACTTTTCTGGATCCAATAGCTTATCAACATCTTCAAAAATTTCCCAATCTGAGGGAGAGCCAGTACTTGTCATATACAGCTTTTCTTTTCTGTTAAAAATGTATATAACAATGTATTACCATTAACATACATAACAAACGAATTACGATTTACTTGTATCGTGCCGTCAGATTGTGCATTTTTGTTTTCAACTCTTCAGCCGTATAGCGGAAACCTTGGCTCTGCAATACTGCCGCCATTTCTTGCATTATGTGGCGATTTTTTCTGCAGCCTCGTAGTTGTTCCATATGCGCATACCATACTAACAAAAAAGCACGCTCGCTGTTCGGATTCCATCGGCTTGCGCTTTTACGGCTACTAACACTCCACCTTTTTTCAAATAGTTGACTAACTAAAATCAAAAGTCATTTTACTATATTAACTATTTATTTGATTAAATTGACTTACCATTTGCCTCCATTATCTCCATAGGTTCTAATTTTATTTCACATTCTTCTGAATACACAGCCATATCAACGAATAATAATGTTTTTGGTAATTAACAAAGAAACCACTCTGACAACTCCAAGCGCAGAAATATCTTCAAAAGAATGAATAATTTGTTTAACTAAACACCACTCTTGAAATATTTTGCAACATATTCAACGTCGGAAAATGACATAGGCAATGATGGTTTGGTGCGAATATGATCGAAAACATTGGCCTTTCACAAAATAAAGTATCGAATGTAGAACGATATTGGACTCTCTGGACGTGTACTTTCAATATTCCCAGGGAAGACTTCTCCCCCTAAGAAGTAATATGAATATCAAGATCGTTTTGTGTTAGGCATACATCGCACCTCATCTGCCGATATATTAATACTGTGCAATCGGATTGATGAGAAGATATACTTTTAAACAACAAAAATAAATGAGGGATTTTTTGGAAAAGAACAGGTAAAACGTCCTTAAATTCACCAGGAATTATAGCCACTTACATGAGAGTTCGGTTAAATAACTATTAGTACCGAAAAAGGATGGGAGGATGACATATGGGAGTTATTTCAAACCGTTAACTGACATTGAAAATTTATGATAGGAAGATTTGACACCCCATGATAATTTCAAAAATCAAATTAGAGCGAATTCGTTTAAATAATGTGACCAAAACCACCAAAATAGCGGAACCCATAATCCGGAAACATGGGTAAGTGATAATTTTTGGTAGGTAGATTTTCTACTCTATGTGAATACAAAATATCAAATTGCTCTCATAATTAATTGTAACATGTGCTCAAGCTCACCAAAATACCGAAGTTTGGGAAGGGGTCTTCCCTAAAAGGTGGGCCAAAAGAAATTATTTTTTGTAGTAAGATTTACTACCACAATCCAAAATGCCAAATTACAGTCAATTAGATTTAAACATCTGACCAAAAACCTCAAAATACCGAAATATGGGGGTACCGTTATATGGGGGCTAGACGGAAACATGAGCCAATATTAATCATATATCGTAGGCAGATCTGATACCCAAAGTGAATCAAAAATACTAAATTACAGCCGATCCTGATGAAAAACAAGTCCAAAGACCACAAAATACCGAATAATGAGGGATGCCGTTATATGGGGGCTACCCTAAAAAGTGGACCAGTGTTGATAATATTTGGTAGGAGAATGTGTGACCTAATGAGAATCCAAAATACCAAATAATAGCCAAATCGGTGGAGAAATATGCCAAAAATTCCTAAAATAACGAATATTTGGGGTTACCATTATATAGGAGCTAACGTAATCCGATATATCCCATTTTTCCATACCAAGCATCCTAGTGGTAATAGAAACGTATGGGCAAAATTATAAAACTCTATCTTAAATATTGCGTTGTTGTTATTTCAACAGATGGATAGGCATAAATCGACATAGAATTTTATTCTGATCAAGAATATATGTATATAATTTATAGGCTCCCTGGTGAATATTTCTAGGTGTTGCAAACGGAATGACAAAATTCATCACTAAGCGGGATTCCGCCTTTACTTCTTAACCCAGGCTTAGTAACCTAAACTTAATTTGCTCCACAATAATAAAAAAAGTCCAAAACTCAACAAACGGACATACGGATGAATATTTCCCATACAGTGGAGGGTGTATGAAGTGGACTGATGGTCAATAATGTTTGCTAATATTTATTACAACAATAATCAGTTAAGAAGATGCAAATGTAATGTGCACTCCACTACATTCCTAACACAATACAGTTGAGCTGTTACGCGTTAACAACAATCCTAGGATCAAACTGGGTATTTAATTGTTGGTCAGTTCCGGAAAGGTAATTTCTGCTGCTATTATTTACTTGATAAATTTGAAATCTTTTGTCAGTATTTTTATTCAGCGCATTTGTTTAATGTTGCAAAAATTGAAAATATATCGCAGATTGACTTTTATGTTGTTGTTTCTTTTTTAATTTTCTTTTATTACACTCTTCGTCAACAAACACTTTTCTTTGTATTGCACTACTTTGTTGTATTCGCATTTTCAATGTCTTTTGATTATTACATTGTTATCGAAAAAGTCGATACATTTCGATAACAATTACGAAATGTATCACTCAGTAATTATTTACGTACGTACGTAACGTAATTTCGTAAAACTCCGAATTCGAAATTGTGTTCGCGGGATATGATTGAAATACTACAACAAACTAAAAATAAATAACACTTTACCTGCTAATTCACGTTTTCTCAATGTATCTCTATCCGGTGATGTGGACTCCAAAATACGCTTTCGTGCTGAATTATTTTTAATACCGCTATTATTAGCGGTATTATTCTGCGAAGAATTCTTCGTCTGCTGTTGCTGCTGCGGTTGTGGCATGCAATTGTTGTTTTGTTGTTGCGTTGTATTGTTCTGAGCCATTGTTGGCAATGTTGCTGCTGTTGTTGCAATTTGTGGTCCACGACAATCTGCTGTTGTGTTGACTAAAATGAATTTCATGCCATTGGCTGCTGTTACGGTCTGCCTTGCCGTTGAAGATGCCAATAACGCTTGAAGATTACCACTAATCTGCATTGGACGTGGTGATTGGGTATTCATAACAGTTGCTGTTGTTGCTTGACCCGTTGATGGCATGAGAATCGTCGGTGATACTACCGAAATTTTAGATGGTGTCACAGGTGTTACCGTTGAACTTGTGCTGGTTGTGTGGCTCTGTGTTTGAGGTTTATTTAAGATTCTTACTAAATGTGAGGTCGAATTTGTTTTACTCTCACATTGGAATTCCTCGTCATCGACATCGATAGGTTCAACTTTGGGCACCAATAGCTCTTCATCATTGGCTTGTCCCTTTTGCAAGTCTTGCGTTTTCGTTTTTGGTGTTTCAGGTTCGTTTATTGTTAAATATTCTTCAGACTCTATTTCTATTTTAATCATCATTTCATCATCAGTAGCTTGGCTAGTTTCTAAAAAATGAAACAACATTAATGTCTGCTTAATATTATGTTGGGTATATCCACTTACTGTTTTTATTTCCTTTGTTTCCGTTATTATTATTATTATGTTGGTTTCCACCTTTCTCAATTGCCGCCAATGTTTCTTCATCAAGCTCAATTTCAGCATGAGGTTCTATAATATCGTGTTCATTACTCTTTGAGTTTCTTCTAGCAGCTGGTACTGCTAAAACATCTTCTATGTCATCATCGCTTTCGGAAACATTAATGCCTAAAGGATGTAGATAGTCGATATTTAAAAACATATACATATACAATATTATAATACATATCCTGGTGTTGTATAATTTTGTACACACATGTATAGGTCATAAACCCGTGGATTATAATATTACAATAAGTAAGGGGGTCTACCCCGAAACTGAAGCTACCCTATAAAGTGCACAATGAGAACCATGGACAGATGTACGGATATGAATAGATCGACTCAGAAAGTTGTTCTATGCATTTTCTCAAAAGTAACCATGGATCTATCTAGTCTAGTAAAAACGATCAGATTTTTTCTACATTTTTTCTAGATGTAGGTTTTATTAACCTAATTATTGGGATATATTATTGGGGGGCGTATCTGGTTGTTTGATCCAGTTATACCCGTTAATACGGAAATACCTTTATATTGAGTGGTGGGGTCATCTCAATCCGTTTGAGAGATGCAGTCAGGTTCTAACGTCCATATCTTTTGATAAATATATCCACAAATGACACCATTTTGGAAAGCTCAAAGAATAGTCTATCATTTGAGTCAGAATTGGACTATAATATGCCCGGGTGATCCGGGTCCAAAAAAAAAACGTTTTTGTATGTACCTTTTAAGCCACAGTGTAGGACTAACGCAATCTAACTGCCGATTAGAAAATCTGCTTACGTTACGTTTAATACTAAACAAGACATTTCGATTAATAAGATCGATTATTATTCGATTATTATTATGTGTCGAATCGAATCAACATTGCAACCACTATGTTATAATAATAAACAAAACATAAACATGCAATGGCTAATATTCAGAATATTCAGGATTACAGGCGCAATATATTTTAAATATAATAGAATAGTTCCGAATAACTATGGCTCCTATGTTCTTAATATTAATATACTACCTATATCCTTATCTTAATATACTACCTATATCCTTAGAACCACAGTCTGTAATATTAAAACCCAAAATATACGCTGCAAAACAAATCCCCCCTTTCCGACAAAAACTCACCCTCTTCTTCTGCTTTGCGCTTGCGTTCCTTTCTCTTCTCCTCCTCCTGTTCCATTAGATATTTAAGCGACGGTGCCGGTACCTCATTCGGACGTACACTAAATATGGGCCGTGTCATAATGGCATCCATATCGGCATAATGACGCCACGACGGATCCATGTCCTTATTCAATTCCATTTCTTTTTTCAAACGATTATAGAAACATTTCATGTTCTTGATGCGCGTCGTTATCTCTTCGGGTGAACGATGGTAGCCGTACTCTTCCATTTTGCTAGCCAGCTGAGCAATAACCAAATGCTTTTTGTGTGTGGTAATCAGTTCACGTTGCACCTTGGGATCACCCCACAATTGTATCAGCAGCTTTGTTTCATCGGTATCGAAATTTGGATTGCGATATATGGGGCAATTGCGTTTCGACTTGGTGGGGTTGAGAACACGATTTTTCGATACCCATGGGTCGCCCGGCTTTCGTTTAGTTTTCAAACGCGCACTCTGTTTGGAACTCATGTTTGAGTTGTATATTTTATAGTAAAATCAATTTATTTATTGTTAAACTTTCTTTGGTCGTTTATAAACAATTTCCCGGTTATCAGCATTAACTCTCAAAACATTTGATGACCTGTAACCACACGCAAATGAAATTTCATTTCAATTACTTCAGCCGAATACAATAACAAACAATAACAGAATAACGAAACGACTAGACAACTGCACGACACACGCAAACACAATCGACTGGCAGGGCCACTGCTGTATGAGCTGAGCTGGGTGCATAGGCGAAACCACGGCGCATATGCAAACTGAGTATACTACCGAATCGAAGGCACACAGTGTTTTCCAATCGAGAAAATAATCACCCTTAGGAAAAGATAAGGGAAAAATGTGATTGGGCTATTGTAATACATTATTATTTATGTATGTATAGATAGGTATATTTATTTGATCTGCAAGAATCTACTATTTATTCAAATTTTTCCTTTATAGCATGAATTAAAAATAAAAAAAAATGAAATAAAAAAATGTCTTTTAATTATTTGTATATCTGTTTTAAGATCTAGTAAAGATATAATAGTCCTTCGCATGCTATTATAAAGGGTTCTCTAAAATAATTTAATATATTCTACTTCTTAAAATTAAAGGATATGTAAATATGACCAAACGATAACACCTTTGCGTAGATCGAGTCGATCGAATTAAATTTGGCTGAGATATAAGTATCCAAAGTAAGAACTCGGCGTGTTGTTTATACATATATAAAAACTTCAAGCGCATTTTGATATCCTGGTGGAAGGTGACGTGTATATTAAGTTAGTCATTCTGTTTGCAGCATATCGAAAGATTCACCTGAGAGTCCATAAAATGCAATGCAATGTCGATTTAGCAATGCTCGTCCGTCTGCCTGTTAAAATCGCAATAGAGCTCGCAATATTGAAGATAGAGCATTGCAATTTTGCAGATACATTGTTATTATTCCTAGGATGTTTCATATTAAAAATGGATTATATAGGGTATTTTGAGGTCTTGGGGTTTTCAACATAATTTACTGCAATTTGGTATCAGGTATTCATCGGATACTAAAAAAGATATACATTGGTCCACTTTTTAGGATAGTCTCCTATATAATCATACCCCCAACATTTCGACATTTTAAGGCATAATTGGACGTAATTTCGTGTTTTGGATTGAAAATCTTTCTACAAAAACTTTGCAATATTGGTCAACTTTTTATGGGGACCCTTAATAGAGCGGTACCCCCAACATTTTAAAGCTTTTGAACAACTTTTTCGACACAATTGGTTGTAATTTGAAATTAGGGATTTGTAATTAGCACAAATTCTCTCTACGAAAAACAATCAATATTATTAGTTCATGTTTGGGGGTAGCCGAACGTTACCCCCAATATTCTGTATTTTGGAGTTTTTATTTGCACATTTTTTACCTAATCATATATAATATAGTATTTAGAGTTTCCTTTGGGTAGCAAATCTCCCTCCTACAAATAATCAATATTGGACCACTTTTTAGGATAACCCCCATATAACGCTAGAATAATGTTCAAACTCGTGACTAAAATACCAACATTTGGGAGGTATTTTAGTCACGATTTTGAACCTTATTGACCGTTATGTTGTAATTTGGGCGATCTTTGAGTAAAAAACCTCCCCACCAAAAATTATCAAAATTGGTCCAAGTTTCCGGTTGTTATATCAAAACAAAAACAACTGTTTTTTATTCGACCATCTGTCAAATTTTATCTACTAATAGGTTCGTTCGTTTACTTTCACAGTAACATTTACTCAGTAAGAATTAGCAGAGAGTAAATACGAATTTTTCGTTCTCAAGAGAGAAAAAACAGCTGATTAATACAAACAAATATGTGGCTCAAAATACATTATTCTGAATTTATTATTGTGAATTTAAACAAACCCCAAAGTACTGACTTTACACTTGAGAAAAAAAAAACAGCTGACATTCGCTAGCTGGGTAACCTTATTAATAGATCTTGTGACTATAAAATTCTTACTGTGTAAAATTTCTCTGTAAAAATTTGCAAATACTCAGTAACACAACTGTCAAATTTACTCTCTCAATTCACATTATTTTTCTGGACTTTTGGGTAAACGAAGAACTAAGGCCTATAAATAAGGTCGACCAGGGAGACCAGCTGGGTATTATCTGCCTCTCAAGTTTGTTGTCAAAATCCATTATTGAGAATTATGAAAACGTAAACAAAGCCAAAGTTTTGACTTTAGACTTGAGAAAAAACAGCTGACATTCGCTAGGTGGGTAACCTTATTAACAGATCTAGAGAAGAACATTTTGTAACAATTTGAACAAATTTTTGAGTAAACGAACGAACCTAATATTTGCAACAAATTCCTTGTTGTTTTCATTAATGTTAATTTAACAACTTGTAGAAATGTGACGAAATCTTTAATAAGACTGCATCTTATTAGTATTTCGTCAAAGACATAATAATTATACATCGAATTCCACTAATAGTTACAAAAGAAAATATTTTTGTAAAAGAAAATATTTCTAAAAAAATCTATTGGTCTGTTCCCGTAGTGCAAGAATCTACCAGATTATACTATTTTCTTCGATATCATAAAGGAAAATTCGTTATCGTAGTAAAAAGTAGTATATTCCGGCAGTATGGGAACAGGTCTTATATCTATTTCTCGTTTCATCAAATTTCCACATCTGTATATTTCAACATATCGAGAGATATTTCATACAAAACTCCAACTATAACCACTGTGTACTTACGATATTCCCACCAGCTGTTTCTGTTTATTCATTCAAGATACTACCCTTCTCTAACCTAGTATACACCATAGTTGAATTGGCAACCCCCATTATTTTCACAATTTTTATTTTTCGTGAAAAACATGCTCCTGGTACTCACGCTTTACTTACAGCTAGCTTGCGTTGATGTCGTTGTTGTTATTACAGTTTCATTTTTGTTGTGTTATTAGGTATACTACGCCTGTATTTATGTCGCCTGGTTGTAAGAGTGTGTGCGGTTGTGTGTGTGAGTATATGAAAATCCTTTGCTTAAACAATTATCCTTACGGTCTTCGGTTGCTTTGAATTTTGGTTCCTTTTGCGACGATATGTGTTCAGCAACTGAGCATGTGGCGTTCTGTATCCTTTATTTTATTACGGATCTACTATATAAAATAGAAAGCATGGATGTGAGTGAGTGTGTTGGGTGTTTGAATGGCACGATTTGGGCCAACAATTTTATGCAGCAATTGTTTTGATTGTGGTGCGCAGTTCAGCATGCGTACTGTACTAACATGTATCGATTAATTGAGAGGTTCTCTCTGAGTGTTTAAGGTTAATTAATAATAAAAGTATTGTTTTTTGTGTTACTCATGGGTCAAATTTATGTAATAATATGGTGTCCATTTAAAAAAAACGCCATATTATATTAAATGAAAAAATATATGCATATAATTGTTATTTGTTTCGAATTTTTATTTCGTCTTATGAACGAAAGGTTCAATTTCGATTTTGCGCATTAGTGTATATGAGCGAAATCCAATGCGAGGAAACAAACCTAATATTATTTTAGTTCTTCCTTTCCGCCTACCTCTTTGTAAGTGTCCTTCATTAGTGGTTAAACTTATTTAGATTTTCGAAGATAATTCGATGTATCAGCCATATGCAGACTTGCTACATATTTACGTATCCTTGTTTCACAACTTAAGGTAATAACACTGAATTGCCAAACAATACTCTTTAAAGTGATATATAATATCACGTTATTACAATGTCACTTTAAATCATCGTGAATTTTTAAAAATCTATTATGAATTTCTATCAATAAGAATCTTATTAATGGTTATTTTTCAAAACACCTTTACAGAATATTATGTCTTTTTCGAACCAATTGAAAATTTTTCATTTTTAAACGACTTCAAGATTTTATTTATTTTTCTAAAATACCTATAAAAAAGTAGTAAAAAGCAATTATACACTCTTGGTCTGTTCCCGTCCTGCAAGAATCTATCATTTTTAAAATTTTTTGATATCATAAAGGAAAAATTGTTATTAGTAAAAACTAGGAGATTTTTGTAGTACGTCAACATGCCATCTATCAAATACGTTCTACAGTAGATATCAGATATAAGAAACTCAAAAAAAGCCGAAGATTTCTTTCTTATATGCGTTTTTTTCTTATATGGAATTATTGGATATAATAAAGTATAAGGTCGGTGTTTTTGATAATCTTTCTTATATTAGATGTGGTTATATCCGATATCTACTGTACATTGAAAATAGGTTTGCCAATGTCATTATAATTGCAGGTGGCAAAGTTGTATCTGCAGTCCTGACAACGGAAGATGCACAAAATAGCATAAATTTTAATATCGGTCACTTTTTACATGGTCAAATATTAAACTCTTAAATCTTTGCCATTTATTAGCGTTCAATAAATTTTATATTCCATAAATTCAAATATTTTCTTACGCTCTCTTATAGTACGTATTTCCCAAACTACCTACATATCTGAACACTACACACAAATTCTGAACTCAATAGAAATCTAGCTCTATACTAAATTTGGTATGATTTATTACTCTTTCAGAAAAATTTGTCAAATATAGCTTCATCGAAATCCAAATTTAGTACCTTAGTACACCTTTATATAAATTTCCATAGCTACCTACTTTAACCCTACGGTCAATAACCAAAAAATTATACGTAGATCAATAACGGTGGTACATTTGTACCCATCTAAAGATAGCTCTGTAATTTATTGAAAAATTTGACTATCGTGAGGTTTTTCTGTTTTAAATTAGTCTATACGGATCTAATCTAGATGTAGGAACTCAAAATTATATATACATTAAAATAATATATATTTAAATCCATGCTTAAATCATAATTTATCTAAAACAATCATTGTAAATTCGTTATAGCTTTCGAATGGGTTATTATACCCTACACAACTATGTTGTCAGGTTATTATAGCTTTGTGTAGCCCCAAAAGTTTG